AGCCCCCCCGAGCTGCGGGGAGGTCTCACTGGGGGCCATGACTCCATCTGATCCCTGCAGACTATACAGATCAGGATGGGGCAGAAGAATAGGCCTGGGCTTTTCCCAGGGCCTGGAGGTGCTCATGGTGTTCTGCAAAGCCCATCGGCCCTCTGTGGCTGCAGCCCCAGCCCAGCTGGGATGGAGGGGTTGGGAAGGTGCTGTGCCGTGCTTTACTGCGCTGTGCTGTGCTATGTCATGCTGTGCCAAGCTGTGCTGTGCTGTGCTGTGCCATGCCATGCTGTTCCGTTCCGTGCTGTTCCATGCTGTGCTGTGCCGTGCCATGCAGTGCCATGTGGCACTTCATGGTGTCAGCAAGCAGTGGTTTTTCAGGGCTTTTTGCTGATGATCACAAGTCCTTGCTGGGCTTAATGCAGTGGAATTGATTTTGGTTTGCCAGGTTATCATTCACATCAGCAGGGAAAAATCAATGCAGGTCAATCATGTCTGATTTTGCATGCCGTTAGATCCCAGCTTAATCTCTGCTGTCCTCTTCCCTCCCACCGCTATGGACCACACGGTTTAAGGGAGGATTGATGTCCTGGGCTCAGCCCAGTGTCACCCTGGGAGCTGCGCCTTGCCCATTCTGGTGGGACTGGGGTGGCACTTCCCTGTCCCCTTCCAGCCCCATCACCTTGTCCAGTCTTCCCTCTTCCGCCTGTCTTTTCTGTAGCTGAGGGTTCCAAAGTGCTCCTTGGTTTGGTTGCTCGCTCCAGGTTTCACAGGCGGGAAGAAAGCTGCATCCAGGTCCTTGGATGAGGTTTCTGCTCTGCCTGCTGGGATGGGACCTGGGGTTCTGGCTCCGCTGTGGAGCTGCTGGGTGCTTTGTTTTGTGGGGGGTGTTTCCACGACGTCCTGGGCGCACCCAGTGTGAACCTGGAAGGATCCCAGGTCCCTCAAGTGCCCAGGACGGCTCCTCAGGTGCCTTCCTGGGGCACAGGTCCCCCTGGGTGTGAATCGGGACTGGCCCCAGAAGCATCCTCCGTTTGGTGGCCAGTTGGTGCCCACCACAGGCAGGCAGGGTTGGCCTGTTTGCATTTGGGACTGGGTTTGGGTTGTTTGCTGGTTGGGTTTGGGGTTTCTTCTGTTGTAAGTCTGTACTGTAACAAAAGTCACGGCTCCTTTCAAATACCTTTCAGTGTTCAAGCCTGCACGCTGGTATCTTCACAACTCCCCATCAAAACCCTGCAAGGCTTCATTTAAGGCTCTGACATTCAGCGTAAGTTCCTCGTTGCTGACAGTGTGTGTGTTTCAGGGTTATTAACATCCCGCTATCTCTTTCATTTTTAAGAGATGCAGGCAGAAAGGGAGAGCGGGGGTATCTCTTTTACACAGTGAAATGCAGGGTCTCACAGTTCCTGACAAGGTGGGACCCAGAGGCTGTCACTGGGTTTGGAACTGGCTCCTCCTCCGGCTGTGCTGCGTTATTCTGTGGACACTTGAAGGTTTGTGTTCTCCTCAAACCCCCTTCCTGAGCTCAGGGCGCACCCTCTGCCACGAGGGGTGGATGCAGAGATGGGGTTTTGCTGCACTGAGAACCCTGCAGAGGGCCCATGGTGGGGCTGGTGGCTCTCACGGTGCCAGACGTGGCTGTGTCCTTCATTTCCCCCCCCCCAGGCCCACCAATTTTTCATGCCCTCCTTGTGCTTTCTTCATCCACCTGAATGGTTTCCTCTGCAGGTGTTGATTTTGGTCCCCAGTTCCCTGCTGGTGTCCCATTTGCTTTCTCCACCAGCAGCAGGCTGTGCCACAGTGCCCTCCCCACCCAGCGCATCCCCCTCTGCCCTCGCTCTCTTCAAGGCACTGACATGGGGGAGAGGAGAGACGTAGTTGCAGGGGGCTGTTATCCCACACTTATCAGCATTAAACTGGATTTGACAACTCGGAGCCTGGGATTTGAATGATCTAAATCCTCCCTCATTTGGCAGCCTGATTTGCTGTTATTTACGGTGCTTCCCAATTTACTCTCATCTGCAGAGTTGGAGGCTTTGTGTGCGGTGCCATCCACTGCGTGACTTACACCCATGATGACAAGAGTGGGGCAGCGGGAGTCGTGCCGCGGGCACCAGCCCCTTCCCAGGGCAGGAGCACGGCAGTGCCAGGATACGCTGCTGCTCTGGGAGGTCCAGAGCCCCCTGAGCACGGCAGAGCTGCACCCCTGAGGAACCAGGGAAGGAATTGTCCTGACAGTGCCATGTGCACAGCTCCTGCGCCAGTGTGTGGGTACGGGGCCATGGGCTGCCCGCCCCAAAGAGGCTGTCCTGCTGGAAGCGGCCAGAGGGGAGGGAGATGCAGGGAGAGGCTACAGGGATCAGGTCCTTCTTGCTTCTCCATCCTGGACACCCAGGCTTGCAGAATGTGCTCCATTACAGAAAAGTGCAGGTCTCGGGGAGCATCAGGGCTGGGTCCAGAGCAGAGCAAGGGGTGAAGCATTCCCTGTGCTCTGTCCCATGTCAGGGCTGAGAGAGGCCTCTTGGTCACACTTACCTTGAGGAAAGCTGCTGTTCCCATCCTGCGAAAGGGTGTTGTCTGTAGCTACACAGACACATGAAGAGAGAAGAGAGAGCAGAGCTCCACACAGCTGGGACGGGGCACAGAGCCTGTCCCGGACCATGCCAGGCGTGAGCTGCTGCCCTATGCCAGTCACTGATGCGATGGGAGTGGGCACGGAGTGCCTGGGATGCTCTGGGAGCAATGGTGAGGTGCCTGGGATACTCCAGGAGTTGGGGACAAGGTGCTTGGGATGCCCCAGGAGCAGGGGCAGAGCACCCGGCCTTGGTGGGCACAAGGAGAGGGGCAGCAGTGTGGGCAGCTCCCTGCTCTGAGTTGGGCTGCTCCAGGGATGCAGGTTTCACACCGGATGCAGCTCTCTCTTTCTGATAGCGGGTTTGTTCTCCCGCTCCTGATGGGGATCACACCTTCCCTGCACACCCGGAGGGACGCGTGTGTGTGGATTATAAATTCCTATTTTTCTGATACAACTGTATTGCTACAGCGGAAATCAAATCCCGGCGTTGGTATTTTTAGTGTGGAAGCATGAAGGATCACGGGCGCTGTGGAGGGAGGATGAGGATGCGGCGCTGGCGCGGGGAGCGTCTCCATGGAAACAGCTTTCTCTAAATTCCCGCATTCGGGGCACTGAGCGTGTAGGAGGTGATGAAGGAAATGGAAAAGCAAAACCAGGAGATGAGCTTTTTTCCTCTCTGTTGTCACAAAACTGCTGCAGGAACCTCGGGAGCAACAGACATAAGTTATTGATTGTGTCAGTGCGAGTGGATTTTAATTAACAACCACCCTGTCGTGGGTCCCCAGAGCAGGGCTGGGGTGAGCGGCACAGCCCGGGACCAGCCTGTGCTGGGGGGGGCAGCTTTGTTCAGAGACCTCTCTGCGAGGGAGTGGTGCTGCACCGTGCTCCACGATGGGCACCTCTCAGAGACTCCTGTTCCACCCCTTGGGGATGTTTTCCTACGCGGTACTAGTGAGAAGAGCTGGAGCCCAGCCCTCAAGTGGAGATGGGTGCTGGGGGAGTCCTGCTGACAGTGGTGGGGTTTGGGTCGGGTTGAATAACTCCCCTCACAAGAGGTATTTCTAATTGTGAAGAGTTTTTAAGGTCTGCCAGCATGTTGTTAGCCAGGCTCTGTTGTTATCTTGTCTCAAACCCACATGGGCATGATCCAGTAGCCAGTCCAGGATGTCCTGTGGGCCTGCATCCCCTTCCCTGCAGGAGCAGAGTGAGTGGCTGGTGGGGCTGGGCTGGCACCAGGATGCTGGTGGTGCCTGGCTCTGTGATCCCTTGGCTGGGCGATGCAGGAGGTGCTGTTGCCATCTGACAGATGCTCATTGCAGCATGGACAGTGATTTCCAATTCATTGGCAGCTGAATGACCTGAAAGCAACAGCAGGTGATGGAGAAGGTCAAATGCAAACCAGATACATACTTACCATGAGCAGGGGTGTGTGTTGGTGAGCGAGCAGAGGTATCTTAAGATGAGGTGGCTGCTGGGCTCTACCTGCCGCAGGGGCTGTTCTGATCCCCAGACCTGCTGAAGTAACTGGCAGTGCTGAGGCACCATCCTGGGGTGCAGGTTGTGCTGCTCTGGGGAGCCTACGCCATGGAAGGGCCTCTGAGATTCCTGGTCTGGGATCTGCCATGGCGCAGGGCATGTGTTTGGTGGGTGCTTGGCTGGCATCCTGGAGCCAGACCCTCAGGAGGGTTCTCAGCAGCTGCCAGGCTGTGCCAGTCTCTGAACTGAATCTTTTCTCATGTGCTTTGGTAACTTTCCAGTACGTATCCCAGAGGGATAAAAACCACAGGAGGGCGAAGGGACGATTCGGGTTACCGGGCTCTCTGCTGGCACGTGGCAGAGCTAACAAGCAAGAGGAATCGCTGCGCCGCACCCGGGGCTCCGGGGTGCCAGTGCCGGTGGTGCTGGGGTCCTGGCAACCCTGTTGTGCTGGTGGGCGGCAGGAACGAGAGGGGAAAGGGAGGGGAGCGCTGCCGGCGGCTGCAGCAGGAGCGAGCTGGCTGTGAACAGAGCGCATCTCCCCTGCCCCGGCTGCTGGAGCTGCCCCCAGGCAGTGCTGACACCGCTTGGGCGGCAATTGCCGTGGACTTAACCTCTGACACGCTTCTAAAACCAGCCCAAATAAATCCCACCACGAGCAGCTCCCAGGGGTAAACACTGCGGATCAAAGCGGTTACAAGTTACCAGCCCCTGGATTCTCCCCCTTCTGCATCCAATGCCAGTCCCTGCCCAGTCCCTGCTGAGCAGGTCTTGGTTCCTGGCAGCAAGATGCTGAGGCCATTGTTATTATCATAGACAACAGAAAAATGGGGATTTATGGAGATCCTGCAAGGAATGAAGTGCTGTCAGGGCATGTGGCTGAGCAAGGAATGGTGCTTCCTAGACGCCTGTGAAAGCCAGTCTGTGCTTACTTAAATTGTCTTTGTCTTCTTTCCAGCTGACATCATCTCCACAGTTGAATTTAACCACACTGGAGAACTACTAGCAACAGGGGACAAGGGGGGCCGTGTTGTAATATTTCAACGTGAGCAGGAGGTAAGTGCCAGTGAATGCAAAATGCCCATTTCATCCTCTTAAGAGAAGCTTCCTGCTGTTTCCTAATCCATCTGTGTCACTCCTAACCTCAGATTTCTCCTGGCAGACTCCAAACTGAAAAGTGACTTAACATAAGCAGGTCCAGATTCCATCCTGTAAAACACCCTCCAAAGCCATGCTGTGTTGCCTGCATCCCTCTTCTCGGGTTGCAGCTCTCTGGTGCATTTGAGCATGCCGGGGGAGTCCATCCATAGCTAACAGCTATGTTGTATTTGTGTCCCCATGGGGCAGACGCTGCTTATCCCATGCAGGTGGTGTGCTGCCAGTGGTTCCCTCTGTTCCCGCTCCCTTCCTGCTCAGTTCATGGACAGGAGAGGCCGTGCCTTTGGCTTTCAGACCTGTGCTGCGTCACCGTGACCAGGCACTCGCTGCCACTTAACAAACCTCGGAGACCCAAGGAGTCCACACAGGATGTTCTCCTGCTCCCTGTGCTTTAAATCCCTCCCTGTGCCCTTCCTACAGAGCAAAAACCAGCCCCATCGCAGGGGAGAGTACAATGTCTACAGCACCTTCCAGAGCCACGAGCCGGAGTTCGATTACTTGAAGAGTCTGGAGATAGAGGAGAAGATCAACAAGATCCGATGGCTCCCACAGCAGAACGCAGCCTATTTCCTGCTCTCCACCAATGGTACGTGGCCTCTGGGCATGCACCAGTGCTGCCATGGCTCCGTTCAGCTCAGCAGTTCCTTGTTACAGTCAGATAAATATCAGGAGGATCCAGGAATATGACTTGGGATGAATGGCAGCTAAAGAAGGATGTGACTTAATTATTTCAGAGGAAAAGGAGGGGTCTAATTATCTTCCATAACCAACTTACTTTGTATTATAGGATTGACTCTATTGATCACTGTAATAAAATTCAAAGACTTACTAAACTCATTTGGGGGGGGATCATTGAAATGCAATGAATATTAATTATAGAGCATAATGTTCTGTTAATTGGGTTTTTAAATAGTTTTTTGATTAACAGGGATTTTATCTCTCCATTTGGGAGGGCGTTTCATATGCTAGCAGGTTATAAAAATGATTCTTTTAGAAATGCTCCCATGTTATGCTGTTTTGCGTTGTTCTTACTGTTAAACTAACATTATACATAGAACCCCCTGAAGTAAAGTGGGTTAATAAAAACAAAATTAATGGCACTCTATTGGAATTGCCATAGAAAGGAGAAAATGAAGATAAATCGCAGGATTGTGTATGAAACCTGGTGGAAGTGATGACAAACTACTGCTGGAGCCCCTGCCAGGAGAGGGGAAGGAAAACACAATTACTTGGAGCAAATCCGGATGTTCCTTCCCCAGGGGTTGTGGCACAGGGTGGGTGGATGCTTCTCCATGCAGGAGTCCACAGGGATGGCTGCAGGGTGTTCACAGCACAGGGGTCAGAGAGGGGGAGAAATAGGGCAGAATTCCACTGTTAGAAACCATCCTGAGTGGCCGTGGCGTGTTGGTCTGCCAAGCTGTGACTGTTTGCTCTCTCCTGCCCACAGATAAGACTGTGAAGCTATGGAAAGTCAGCGAGCGGGACAAGAGACCAGAGGGATACAACCTCAAGGATGAGGACGGCCGTCTCCGAGACCCCTCCATGATCACCATGCTACGGGTGAGTCTGGGGAGGTCACGGCTGTGAAGGAGCCTTTCTCTTCAGTGTCTTTGGTCAAACCACGGTGAGACGCTGGCACAGGGTGCCCAGAGAAGCTGTGGATGCCCCATCCCTGGCAGTGTTCAAGGCCAGGGTGGGCACAGGGGCTTGGAGCAAGCTGCTCTAGTGGAAGGTGTCCCTGCCTGTGGCAGGGGTTGGAAGTGGATGAGGTTAAGGGACCTTAAAGTCCCTTCCAGCACAAACCAGGCTGTGATTCTGTGAAGTTACTGGTGGTGTCACCTGTGTGCTGTGTCGCTGGTAATGCCATCCTGTGTGGCAGGTCGGTGTCAGAGGGCAGGGCTTGCTCCCTGTTTCAGAGCTTTGGTTGGTGTGCGGGTACAGGAGTGGAGCTGCTGCAGGAGTGGTGCTGTCTCTGGGCAGTTGTGCCACCGAGCACCCCGGTTTGTGTCATGTCAGGTACTCCAGTGCCCAGTGCTGATGCTGCTGCAGTGCCCTGCATGCCCTGAGCATGCTGGGGATGAGACAGTTAACAGGCTCTCCCTGCTTAGTGCATTTGCAACTGCAACTTCTGCTTAGGGAGCATAAGTACCTTCTCTAAATGAGTTTTCCTCCCAGCCTAAGGAGATTAGAACCAGCTCCTGAATCAAATGTAAACACCCAGGGCTACGTTTTCCATTTACTGCAAGGGGGGGATGGATGCACAGACCCCATTAACGCAGCCGCTGCCGGGAGCCTGCCAAGAGGAGGCACCGGGGCATGGCAGTGCCCGTCTGCCCGGCAGCCCCTGGCACTGGCGGCTCCTGACCAGCAGTGCCAGTGAGTTTGCTCTTCCCTGGGACAGCTGGTTACAAGCTCTGATTTACTTAGAGAGAGCCGGCTCCAGCCCGCAGCAGAGGAGCACAGCTAATCCCACCAGAGCTCACCTGGGGTCCTGCACACGGGGTGCAGGCAGGGGATGCAGGCAGTGGGTGCAGGCAGCACTGGAGACCCCTGGTGCATGGCTCCAGCAGTGAGCTGCCCCTCTGCAAACAGGGGGGAGCCATGTTCTCCCCTGCTTGGCAATAACCCCTTGAACCCATAGCCTAGAAGTGACAAGTGTGCAGGAATTTTGTGATGGCATTAATCAGACCAGACCACCTTGTAATTTAGTAACATCCTCTTAGAATTTGCATTTTGAGTACTCAGGGGGTTTATATGTGTATATATATATATATATATAAATGTTGCTACAATTACCCTCAGCTCAGTTTTATGGCTTCCAGTTCCTTTGCAGATGAAGCCTTTGAGAGCCCCCGACAGGCAGTTAATTCTCACCTGCGTACTGAGTTGCTCCTGGTGGCTGGCAGGCATTTTTCTTTACCGAGCAAGAAAACATTTAATTTCATGTATGAACGTACCTGCTGTTATGTTTCAGGCAGCATTTTCAGCCTGATACTCTGTTACCTACACAGCCCATTGCTGGAGTTTGCTCATCATTGGGATGTCAGAGCTGGGGTTGCCAACCCTCGCAGGGCCGAGGGCCGGGGGGGTGCAGGAATGCTGAGCTGGTGGTCAGGCTCCCATCCCAGACCTGCCATCGGGAAGCAGCAGTCAGTTAACGGGAGCTCACGATGAGGGTGATGACACCTCAGAGGAGTGCAGGGGCGACGTGGTTATGAAAGCAGGTAATCGTCCTGCTCATCTTCAGTGCTGGTGGTTGGTGTCAGCCGACTGTGTCTGACCACATCCCCTTGCTTCAGCTGGTGACTGCAGGGCTGCAGCGAGCCGAAAATCGGTGCAGGGGGTTGCAAGTGCTCGGCCTGAATTCCACCGTCCCCATCCGCAGAGGGGCAGGGTTCAGAGCTGCTGCCAGCGGGGCTGGGGCCAGCCCTGGCAGTGTGGGGGGCACCCAGCCCGTCCCACTGGCACTGGAACATCCGAGCGCTGGACCGTGCTTATTGGAGTCCCCTGTCTGCCTCATGTTTCAGCCTTTGGTTTGCTCTCAGTCTGTTTCCTGGTGCTGGAGGAGCTGGGTGTGCTCCCTTGTGCCCTGAGATACGGTGCTGCGATTCCCCACGCTCCAGTGGGAACATGTGGCTCCTGCCTCGTGGCAACGGGAAGAGGTAAAACACGGTGTAAGTGCTCAGCGTTTATGGTTATTAGTTTCTGCCTGCATAGTGCCTGCTGTCCCTGAGGAAGGGGATTGAAGAGTCTTCCTCCAGCCCTAGTTTGATCTGATGTTTTGATGATTTTACTTAGACAGATATTTACATTGCTGTAACCATTTTGCTGCAGCCTGGTGTATCTCTGACATCTAATTGTCCTGTGATGCTCCTGCTTTGGAGTAAAGCCACATCCATCCAGTTAAATTTTCAACCACAGATGAGCAAAAAAGGTGTTAAAACCACCTTGCTGCCACCATCTCTTACCCATTTGTCATCATGGTTTTAATGTGCTTGATGAGCATTGTTCTCTGAGAAATTTCTAACCCACATAGAGCAGAAGGAATGTTTAACTCTGCTCAGACTGTAAAGTAAGGCTTTTGCTGTCATTAGAAGAGCTCTGCTTACTTGGGTTGCCTCTAGTCTAATAGCTGCAGCCCTTCGGCGTCATTTAGCAGCCTCAGCGAGCTCTCGAGTGCCCCTTGGTCAGTGTACAGCCATACCTCTGCCATGGGGTGTGTGCAAGAAATAATTAACACAAATAATACCCAAGGCTTTAAATCCTTCTAAATAGAGAACGTGTTTGCTTTGGTCCCTCACAGCAGGTCAGGCTGTGAGGGAACACTGGGGTGCATCCTCCCACCGTACCGACCCCGTCACAGGGTGCTCCAGCCAGGCTGGGATTCCTTGGAGTCCATCACATCCCCTTCTCCTGAGCTGTGACCACAGCGGGAGGAGCAGCCGGGGCTGGCAGGGCTCAGGTCAGGGCTCTCGCTTCTCCCCTGTCTGTGCCAGGGAAACCCAGGGGGCCTTGGACACCATTTGGGAACAATTTTCCCAGCCCCAGGCAGCTGATCTCTGTCCCAGGCGTTTTAAATGTGTGTAAGGAAGGAAGCACCCTGCAGACAGGCTGCTGTGCACCCACTGAGCTGCAGGACCAGCTGCTCTGGGCAGCAGGGCTGTGTCCCACCTGGCTGTGGAGGACCCAGGAGGTGACCATGGTGCAGGCGGTGGGTTTCTGTGCTCTGCACCAACAGCTCCCTGGGTGAGGAATGGCCCTCCCCAGCCAGACGCGATGCGGGTGCGATGAGCGTCGGCGCGCCCGGTGCTTGGTGCTTGTGGCTGTCACAAAACGTGCTCTGACTGAGAGCTACCGCTTCACCTGGTCCCACCAAAATCCACCAGAAGTGTGGGTCTGTGTCTCCCATTTTGCCAAAGCACTGGGATTTCCTGGAGCAGTTTCCCGGGGAGGTTGTGCTGTGTATCCACAGCATCCAGTGCACACAGCCGGCAGCCCTGAGTGAGGCTGGGTGATGGGAGAGGGAAAGGGAAGGAGGATGCTTTGGAGAAGGCATGTGGTGCTGCAGCATTTCTGCCCCAGCCCAGAGATCTGTCTGTCTTTTCCCTGTGTACATTCTCCGAAGCATTATCATTTAAATAACAACATAATGTGTAACATTTGGCTTTTTTGGGCTATAAAATGCACATGGCAGAACTAATCAATTTCAAATGATCATCATCAAATCATTGCCATGGAAATGAAAAACAAAGGCTTTTCCCAGTTCCATGAGCTGCTCACACTGCTCTGGAGCAGCGCAGGGTGCAACGTTCGCCCATCCTGCACCCAGGCAGGGCAGTGCTGGGCTCAGCACATGCTGGGACCTGTGCTGCGCAGCTTTGAGGTACTTTTCTCATTTTTTTTGTTTTTCTGGTGAAAACTCATACTTCATCCTTGGAACATCTGTAAACTCGCCTGGAAACGCTGGTGACCAGAATTGACTTTTCCAGTATTTTTCTCCATTTCTATTTCCACAGCAATTGCACTGGTGGTATCTGTGTCTAGACGTGCTGTAAAAACAATGTGCCAGCAGAATTATCCAGTGGGTTTGGATTGCTCTGAATGTGTGGTTGGGAGCGTGGCTCTGCTTCTGCAGGATTTTGCTGGGAAAATCGTCCCCCTGGTGGGATTTTACTGACACGGGATCTCTTTCAGAGGGAAAAATAAGTTAATAAAGATCTGTTCAAGCAATCACAAGTTTGAGGGGCGTGCGCTGTGGATGAGATTGGTGAAAAGGGGTCAGGATTTTGAACTTTGGATAAGAAAAATGCTCTCTTTGTTCTCTGAGGCTTCTGCAAACTTGTGTCAAAATTCAGGTGCAGGTGGCGACAGCAATCCCGGAGCGCAGGAGCTGATCCAGGACAAGTTCTCGGTTACAAACAAAAAAATCCTATCATGCTATGAAAGCACAGAGAGACCGGGAAACCTGGGGTGGTGGAGGCTCTGTGTGGAAGGACACTTGCTCATCCCTGCGCTGAAACCCCTTGTGAGCGGGCCCTGGTGTTGGGCTCTTTGTGGGGATGGCTCCAGCAGTTGGCCCATGGACGGACTCCAGGCTTAATCTTGCTTCACTCTATGAAAAGGTTCAGTGACGGGCGACAGGAGGTGTTAGTGTGAGGCTTAGGGAGGGACGTGTCTGGGGAAGAGATGAAACCAGCAGCTCTATTGGCTACACATACTGGTAATGGGACAGTGGGTTTATCCTCCATGGGAAGGTCCCTTTCCCCTGTCACGGGGAAGGTCCAATGAGACAAAATCCTGAAGAGCAGGAAATTGTCCGTCTGCCATGGAAATGACATTTGCTGTGCATTTTGTCTGCAAACTATTCATGTGCAGGCAGCACTGGTTGCAGATTGTGCCTTTTGTAGGTGAGAAACAGACACCGGCGAGCACGTCCACAGGAGCCTGGCTGCTGGAGCAGGTGATGAGCCTGGGTTTGTCGCTGGGCAGCCAGCTCTGCTCTCGGATTTGCTGGGAACCAGATGACATTTTCCTTCTTGCAGAACCAAGGATGGGGTTAATCTGGGCTCCGGCTGTGGCTAATCCCACGTGGACAAATCCTGCAGGTCACTGGGGCTGTGGAGCCAGCATCTGCCGGGGCTGGTGGGCTGATGCCTCGCTCCAGGAGCGGCAGCTTGCCCTTCTCTAAGTGCAGGAGGAGGGAGCAAAGCTCTGCCCTGAGCACTGGTTCACAGCATCGTGGCTGGGCTGAGGTCGTAGGAGAATTGGCGCTGCTGGTCCCACTGAACAGGGCAGGTACCTGCAGAGGTGCTGAGCCTAGGTCCTTTTGCCTTGGTGTGCATGTTGGGTTGCACTCGCTGCGGGGCTGTGCTGGGGTGACTGGTCACTGTCTGAGCCCAGTAACGGGCAGCTCAGACCTGGCTCATGCTGGGCTGTGCCTGTGAGAGGTGAGCACGTGGCCGGGAGCTGAGGCCTCATCCTTTTCCCTGTGTATTGACTTGTGTTTTGGGCAGAGGATGAGGTTTTCCTGAGGAGCACCAAACCTCTGCATCCCTTCACACCACGTCCATCATGGCACTGGGAACAAGAAGACGCTCTGCTATGGGAAGCCTTCCCTACCCTGGGGAGCAGGGAGCGTTTGGTGACCGTCAACATGACAGGCAATGAAAGGGGAAACTCGATGAGAGCAGGGGGCAAAGTAGAGAAGCAGCAGCAGTTACTGCCGTGGTTTTAACAGCACCGTGGTCCTCCGCTTGGCAGCACTGGTGGTGGGGAAGGACCAGGGCACCCTGGATCTTCCACCCCCCCAACCACCCAGGAGATGAATTTTACAGCTCAAGGCAGGATTAGTGCCTCATTAACTGAGCAAAGGGGAAGCCTTGGCCAGACAAGGAGAGTGGAATCGTGCGTCATGTGCCCTTTGGATGAGTGGGACCAGCTCTTTTGCAGGGGGTGCCTGGTAAAAGAGAGAAAAATGAAGACATATTTTGTTTTAAATGAGAAATGACTGTCATTCCCCCTCCCCCCCCCCCGCCCCGAAAACAAGAAGTAATTTAATTTATTAGTGGTTTATTTTATTTGGCAGCCTTTCTATGTACTTGATGCGGTTTGTTACACTGAATTACCCTTTAATAATGGGTGTATATAGTACCAGAGCCTGCCCTGCAGGCTGGCTCCGTAATTGAAGGAGGGGTGCACTGCGGAGCTCTGTGCTGTTGAAGATTGCCATGGCAATGCCAGTGGGAGCAGCGTGGTTGGGGCAGGGAATCCTGCTGGAAGGTGCCGGTGCCCACGCTGCTGCGCCTCAGCCCCGGCTGCCCCTGGCGAGGTGCAGTGAGAGGTGAGGTGAGGTGCAATGAGAGGAGAGGTGAGGTGCAGTGAGAGGTGCAGTGCAGTGAGGTGAGGTGCAGTGTGGTGTGGTGCAGTGCAGTGAGGTGCTGGGCTCCTGCCTTTGCTACACTTGGTTTTGTACGGGCACAGCTCGGTGTAACCGTGAGCTCTTTCTCTTTGCACTGCGCTGCGGTTGTGCCGGTCTGACCGGCAGCGCGGCTCCCGTAATCCCTGAGCCTCCGTCCCCAGCGGCTGAGCGGAGCCCGTCAGTGCAAACGATGCATCATTGCCTGTGTCAGGCCGGATTAGCGGGCAGGCTCGTCACGTTAAGCTCCGGCTCCGCCTGCAGTCCCTGCGCCCTGGTGTCACTGGCGCTGGCTGTCACAGTCCCGTCCCCACCTCGGCAGCCATGGGAAATCGCTTTGGGCAGCGCACAGATAATACACACAGTAATGAAGTAGCTTGAGGGAAGAGCTGCCTGCCGAGCAGCAGCACGGGCTGACACCTCCGGGAGCACTGAACTGCCTCCGGAGCGTCCTGTCTGAAGCTATTACTTGCACCACTCCTCGTGCTCCCTGTTCTTACTGCATCTCTCAATCCCCTGTTTACAAGAGTTATGCTTATTAATCTGAAGGTGAACACGTACAGCTCTCTTTCTAGTCCCCCATCTGTCCCTGCCCTGTGTGTTCCTTTCCCTGTCTCTTCTCATCTCTCACCTCCGTCACTTTGCTGTGAAGCAAATGCAAAGAAAGTGCTGCCCTGGCTCTCTCAAGACACACAAGCCTGTTAGAAATGCCTCTGGCAGGAATTTCACCAGTTAACAGTGACAAAACAAGGCAGAAGTGGGTTTGGGTTTGTTTTTCCCAAAGAAGGAGCAGTCACTGCAGCATAGACCTGAGCCTGGGTTACGGGGCTCTTGCTGAAATCAAACCATACTGATGCCTCTCTCAGAGGTGAAAGGTTTTGTGTCTGCTTGTCCTGCTCACGCCCACACACAGCTGCTGGGTTTCCTCAGTGAGGGCATGAGCCGAGGCAGGGGGATGGAGAGGGGGCAGCCAGTGCTTGCAGGCACCCACTGTGATGGAGCCGGTGCCTGTCCATGCCGGGCGCTGGCGCAGGTCCGGTGGGCAGCGGGACCCGTCCCCGGGTGCTGACACTCTGCCTCCTGTCACAGGTACCAGTGCTCCGGCCCATGGACCTGATGGTGGAGGCCACCCCCCGGCGGGTGTTTGCCAACGCACACACCTACCACATCAACTCCATCTCCGTCAACAGCGACTACGAGACCTACATGTCAGCGGATGACCTGAGGATAAACCTGTGGAACTTTGAAATCACAAATCAAAGTTTTAGTATCCTTTGGTGCGTGACCCCACAGCCCGGCCAAGAGCGGGAGTGCGGGAGGTGCCTCTGCTGGTGAGTGGGCTGTAGGAGCCCTGGGAGCCCAGACACGTGCACGTGTCAGTAGGAGAATGAAGGGTTCCTGTCCTTGCACCCTGGTCATGGCTCCTTGTACAGCATCACCCTCTGGCAGGCTCCCAGGGGTCAGGAATACAAAGCAGTGCTCTCCACAGCACATCTGACTGCAGAGCATCTGAAACTCCCTTCTCCCGGTGTCACCTCCAAGGCCCTTCCCTCTCATCTCTGCCGGGCGGAGCTGTGCCGCCGGCAGGACATGGCTCACACTGAGCTGAGCCGCTGCCTGCGTGTGCAGGGCTCATCTGGCATCCTCAGGACGCTGCCTCCAGCCTGGTGACACAGCTCTGAATTCTGCTGCAGGGCAGGCGGGAGCAGCGTCTGCGGGTGATGGAGCAGACAGATGCCTTGGGGAAGATGCAGGGAGGCAGTATTAATTGTGCAGTCTCTGCTATACCCTGCAGCGAGGTGACGGGCTGCCAGTCACTGCTGTACAAACGAGGCCCTGCCAGTCACCCTTGCAACAGCCACGTCAGAAATAACAGCAATGGGGTACTTATCATGGGTGATATTTATAGCATTTCCCACTGAGGAGTCCCCACGGGGCATGGGGCCCATTCAGGCACCGGAGAAGAGTTCAGCAGTCAGAGGTGTGTGACTGGTGGGTACGGCCGAGCAGGGCTGCAGCTTGCGCTGTGTTTTGGGGAAGAATGTGGGGAGCCCTAAATTTGGGTGAAACCGCAGGGAGTTTGGCCAAGGAGCGATCAGAGGGGGCAGTCGCTGACCTGCAGGGCTGTGCACTGGCTCAGGCCTGGCTTGAGCTGGGACCCAGGTTCTGCTGCGGATCCGCAGGGCAGCCGGGCTGGGACCGCTCAGAGTCTGTGCCCTGGGGCTGCTGGAAATGCCCCCCCCCACGGGGCCGGAATCCATTCTTTATTTGTCTGTTAATTCCCATCCTGCTGGGAACAGCAGGTTCTTAATTTGCTTCCCAGGGGGTCAGGAAAGCTGCTGTTTCTTTCTCCCCGTTTGCACAGTGGGTAAATCACCCCATGCTGGGTGTTTGGATTGCACTGTACAATCTGAAGCTGCTTCCACTGGTGACTGCTTGCTGGTGTCAAGTCGGGGTGGATCCTCTTCATCCATGCCCTGCAGCCCTGGGATGCTCTGCAGGGCTGTGCAGGTCCTTGTGACGTCATCCTCAGGGCCAGCTCTGTTTGCCACCCAGTGCTTCACCCAGCCTGAGCATGAGAAACGTTTTGGAAGTGACAAGTCCGCGGCAGCACCCCTGGGCTGTGGCAGTTTCTGTTGGTCGTTGTGCTCCAGGTTTTGGTTTTGTGTTCCTGCAGTAGGAGATGTTTGCTCTGGCTCAGGGTGAATCGGCAGAGTCAGGTCTTGGCTGTACAGAGGGCTCATGGTCCCCGCTTGAACAGCAACGTGATGGAGGTGGGCTTTGCCCTGCGTTGGTGCAGGCTGGAGCCCGAGGTTGGTGCTGCTCTCCCAGGAGGGTGCTCAGGGACCTGTGGGGTCTGCGCTGCAGGGGGCTCCTTGACTCGCCCTGCCAGACATCGTGGACATCAAACCAGCCAACATGGAGGAGCTGACGGAGGTGATCACGGCTGCCGAGTTCCACCCGCACCACTGCAACACCTTTGTCTACAGCAGCAGCAAAGGCACCATCCGGCTGTGTGACATGCGCACCTCCGCGCTCTGCGACCGCCACGCCAAGTGTGAGTGCAGCCCCAGCGCGGTGCGGGGGGACGGGGTCCCCTTCGCGTTCACAGAGCCCAGAAAAGGGGAGCACAGACCCCGCAGCCTCACCCCGTCCTCCCCGTGTCCTGTTCTCAGCTGTGGTTGATGCCGCAGGGTTGGGATGTGCAGAAAAGCTCCCTCAACATTCGGGGTGAGCTGGGCAGGCAGGGAGCTGGTCCTGGTTCCTCCCAGGCTGATGCGATGAGTGAGCTGCTGCCGCGGAGCTCGGGTCCTGCTCAGCCTCTGCGTGTCCAGAGGTTGGTGCTGGGAATACTCCTCCTGTCAGAGCCTGCCAGTGGAACACTGGCACAAACACCCACAGCAGCTATGGGTGAGCTGGTCAGTAGCTGCTGCTGTTCTTTGGGCCATGGCAGTTCCTGTGCTGAGCCCTCTGTTGTCAAAAAGAGTTTGGTGCCTGCCTTAAAAACAGTGAAACGTGGCAGGAGCAAGTGCTGCTGTGCTGTGTGACTGCACAGCCAAAGCCCTGCATCTCCTGTGTGACTGCACAGCCAAAGCCCTGCCTCTCCTGTGTGACTGCACAGCCAAAGCCCTGCCTCTCCTGTGTGACTGCACAGCCAAAGCCCTGCCTCTCCTGTGTGACTGCACAGCTGAACTCCTGTGTCTCCTGTTCTGGTTTGGGTTTTCCTCAGAAAATGGCCAATATCCTGTGGGAAATTAAGGAGATTCCAGTACTCGAAGTGTGATCGCTTTAGGAGAACAGGATACACAAAATGGGTGCAACTTCCTGGAGCCCCATGGTCATAACCTACCCCTGTAGAGCCCTGCGGTGTGCTTCAGATGTGGGTTTCCTACAGCTGATAGGGAATTACACAGCAGCTGTTGCTTCTGGGCTTCTGAGCTGTGCTCGTGTCTGAGACCTGTTTTAACCTGAGGTGCATTGGATGGAGGGGAAGCACCGCTGGTGGGAGAGCTTTGGCTGGCTGGAGATGGGAAATACCAGTGGCAGCTTTCCCAAACCCTGAGCAAAGGAGTGTTTCTGTTCCTGCGTTTCCCGGCCATGTCTCACAGCCCGGCAGCGGCAGCTCCCAGCTGAGGACCAGAGCACAATCACAGAGCAAACAGAATCCATTTCCCTGATGCTCCAGTGGCAGAGCCCCCCCTGCCCTTCCCTTTGTCTGGTGCTGCTGCGTCCCGCACACGGCGCCCAGTGGCACATCCCGCTCCCTTTGACCTCTCCTGTGACATCTCCTGATTGATTTCCCTCCACCCCCAGAAGCCCCAGCCCCAGACAGCTGCAGCATTGCTGATGTGCGAGTGGAAATTGAGACAGTCCATCAAAGTTCAACGTGAAAAGCAGCGCTGCCTTTTGGAGGCGAATCCTCCGATGGAGACATTTAATAGCTGTCAGTATTCAATAGGAATGCAGACGCTGTCTCTGCACGCCCCAGCAGTGTTAATTCCCACGGATGCAGCTCATTGCTTGGGCACAGCTCGTACTTACGTGCTTCTCGTGTTCAGTTTTGTTTGCCCGTTTCATTGGAGCTCCTGCGATCTGTGATGTTGTGAGCTCCCTCCAGTCTCAGAGCTGGCCTCGCAGGCAGCATCAGCTTCCACGTGCCCAAAGAAACAGATGCCTTGGCCGAAGCACTGAGGGAAGCCAAAGGGCAGGTCAGGATTCCTGGAGCTGGTAACGGGGGCAGAATAACAGTTACTGCAGTTATTTCCCCATAGCAAAAGGCTTTCCCCTTTTTCCTTATGGAGCTTTAAGGAGTGATTGTACCAAACTCCTGAAACCAAAGGCTCAGGTTTCCCAAAGAGGGACCTTTCCCTTCTGTCTCCTCACTGCTGACTGTGTTACAGCAACTCTACCAAACATTTATCCTCTGCTGAAAAGAGTTTCAGCCTTGGTCCAAAGCACATAAAGCTGCTTTGATGAGGTAGCCGGCAGCTCACAGGTTTTACTCTCCCATATTGCAGGTGTATCCCTAAGACAAGTGTCCCCCTTTGTATCTGGGGGTTTTGCTTCCCAGTATCAGAGCCCCAGAACAGCAGGCAAGGACATGGGTGCAGGGAAAATTCTTCTTTCCTAACAACTTCCTCTTGCCCCCGCACTATAACCTGAACATCTCTTGCCTTGACATAAGCTCAGGCGTGCATCTGTGATGGAAACGATGCAGCCATTAGGGCAAGCCTCAGGAATCCAGCAGACCTGGTGAGAGCAAACCTGTGATGGTTGCAGCGAAGACATGTCCTGGCATTCACACACTCTCCACAGACTGCCTCAGATCTTTATTTCCTCTTGTTGCTGTCGCTTTTCTTATTTAGAAGACCTGATGTGTCATCAGATTTCCTGCTTGGGATTAAAGGCCCTGGAGCTGGGTCCCGCTGTGGGCGATGCCATTTCTGGTTTGTAGAGATCATTGATACTGGCACTTCAGGCGTGTTTTCTGCTGTACGCAGAGGTGCAGGTGCTGGGTACCACAGGGCTTAGCAAGAGGATGCTCAACCCCAGCAAACACCGGTGCTGGGTGCGCTGTGCAGGACACACTGCCTGCGGAGCCACCAGCCCTGCTCTGGACATGGGGGGTCAGATCCAGCGGCCAAGGGGGATGAGCATTGGACACATGGGGCTGGCAGCTGGATTTGTGTCCAGTAGAGAAGTGAAGCGGTGCAAGCATCCTGCAGTGCTGCTCTGGGGAGCTGCGGATGTGGAAGAGGAGCTGGACAGATGTCTCCGCATCACAGCATCTCTCTTGATGCATCCCTGCGATGGCTTTCTAAAACCGTCCTTGCCTAGCTGATGTTGCTCTGAAATCAAATTTATAAATACATTTAATTTGGAACTTCATCTGTCTCCCTCAAACTGTTCAAACTGATTTACTCAAAGACTGATCAAATTAAATCTGTGGGTTGCAGGGGCTATAAAATATTTACATTGACTTTCAGTTACGCTGCACATTGATTTCTAGAGAGCAGCAGTGATGTGCAAGGCTCTAAATCTTCTGGGCTTCTGTGGTGCTGTTGATAGATTGGTCTCTGGTGATCCCTTTCTCTTATTGCACACATTAAAAACAAAGGAGCATCAATCGTGCCAAGTCCGTAAAATACAGGTGCTTGTCCATATTAGTCTAGATCAGACCCAGAGGTGGGAGCGTTGCCCCCCTGCTGCGGGTGCCTCTGCTCATGCTGGGGACAGGAGCTCCTGCCCTGGCTGACGCTGGCACTGTCCTTTGCTCTTTGGCAGTTTTTGAAGAGCCCGAGGACCCAAGTAACCGGTCGTTCTTTTCCGAGATCATCTCCTCCATCTCCGACGTCAAGTTCAGCCACAGCGGGAGGTACATCATGACCCGGGACTATCTCACCGTCAAGGTGTGGGACCTCAACATGGAGAACCGGCCCATCGAGACCTACCAGGTGAGTGTGGAGAGCCGGGCACCCGCCGTGCTCCTGCCCACGCCATGCTCCAGGGCTGGTGCAGACCTGATGGGTGGGAGCATCATGCCATGAAATCACAGAAAGCAAAGGAAGAGCTGTTAAGTGTGGGCTTGTGTGGCTGTGTGGAGTGAAACCCACGTCCCGGGCTGAGGGTGAGGATGGGGAACTCAGGTGCTCGCAGGTGGTGGGGGAGAGCATCGGTCCCTGCCTCCCTCTGCACGGTGACATCCCTGGTGCCACCAACGTCACATGTGGAGCGGGGCTGGCGCTGCAGCGGGTGGCCATGCTCAGGGGCATGTGGGGGCCTCACATCGTGTCCCCCCGGCAGGTTCATGACTACCTGCGGAGCAAGCTGTGCTCGCTCTACGAGAACGACTGCATCTTCGACAAGTTCGAGTGCGTCTGGAACGGCTCTGACAGGTCAGTGCGAGCGGCTCCGGCCGGCCTGGCCCTGGGGGGAGCACAGCCGGGGCTGTCTGCGGGCTCCCCTGTGCCCTTCCCTGGCCTCTGGCTGGCTCCCTGGAGTTTTTGTGTGGGTACAACGGGATCCCCGCACCCAGCTGCTCTGGGGGTGTCTGATGGGGTCCTGGCTCTCCCCTGGGTGGGTTCTGTTCTTGTCTCCAGTTCACCCACACCCACTGGAGGGTGTTGGTGCGTTCGGCTCCAGATTGCCGAAGCGAGGGGCTGATGACTGTCCACACACGTAAATCACAGCAAACCAGAGCAGGCAGTGTGCAAAACCACTTGGCCTGGCAGGGTTGATGTATATTTTTTATTCTCAACCTTTGGGTGGGTTAAGGGACACAGCTGGGCCTGGAGCCTGATTTCCAAATCTCATTATTCCTCTGGATACTTAGGCTGCCTCTAATCATGAGGCAGTTTCCCTCTAAAAAGGTGTGAAAATGATTTGGCTCAGGTCAGGTGAATCCTTGCCATAAAGGCTGCTCTCTGTACTGCTGCTGCCCCAGGAGGAGGTGCCTCCCCTGTGCACATTCCCTGGGTTAAGGAGCTAAGGAGGACGTGGGGATGCGGCTCCAGTGGCAGAGCTGAACCTTCTGGCACAGCCGGGTGTTGGCTGGGCTGGGCGCACACCGTGACCCATCCTTCCTCCGTGCTCACAGCGTCATCATGACCGGCTCCTACAACAACTTCTTCCGCATGTTCGACCGCAACACCAAGCGGGACGTGACGCTGGAGGCCTCGCGGGAGAACAGCAAACCCCGCGCCATCCTCAAGCCCCGCAAGGTCTGCATTGGAGGCAAGCGGAGGAAGGACGAGATCAGCGTGGACAGCCTGGACTTCAGCAAAAAGATCCTGCACACAGCCTGGCACCCCACCGAGAACATCATCGCCGTGGCAGCCACCAATAACCTGTACATATTCCAGGACAAGGTTAACTAGGAGGACAGTTGCTCTCTAGGAGTCTCATGTATGAACACGAGTAAATGCAAGATTTCAAACAGTTCTTTTCTTTCTTTCTTTCCTGTTTTTTCCCCTTTTCCTTCCTGTTCTTTGTTCAGTTGCTGCTCTGCAGCTCCCGGTCATGCAGAGGCGAGTGCTCCTGCACCCCGGGGGCTCCCCAGCACACACCAGGCTTCTCCATTCACACACTGAAGCCAAGATGTAGTGTGGGGTGGCTGGGGGGTGCAGGGCTCGTGTCCCATAGGGGTGGCCGCAGCCCTCTGCGATGGACCAGCGCGGTGGCCTGGGACGAGGAGGGGAGGGGGACACGCGGTGTCCCCGTGGGCAGTTACAGCCCTCCCGCTCCGATTGCGTTAACCCGCTCCCGGAGCCCCCCGGGGCCGCGCTGCAGCCCGGCCCGGAGCCCCTCTGCCCCTTCTCGCCTTTCCTTTCTGTGGGTGTTTTGTGTTTGTCCCAGCAGAGACAGCAACACCAAACCTACAGCGGGAAGTCCCGGTTAGCAAGGGACAGGCGCGGGGGGGATGTGCTGCAGCCTCCCCCTGGCAGCGCTCCCGAGGATTTGGCTCTGTAGATACTGTGGTGCCTTTTTTGGTATATGAATACCTTTATAAATGATGCTTCCAAACTGCATTGACTGCAAACCAAACCGAACCTGGGCTTTTCGTCTGCATTTCTTGTCTCTTGCTTTGGTCACTCCCACCTGTTCTGTTGTAAGCTCCTGCATGTTCTGATGCTTTCTCTCTTTTTCCCTTTCTTTTTCAATTTATTTATTTATTCTTTTTTTTTTTAAGAGATAAAGTATAAGTTGTTAATTTATGACCTTTTAAAAAGGAATCCAACCATATATTGCTGTTAGCACCTGACTGCTTCCCAGAGAGGGTGGCTGTGGGCCTGAGTTATAATAACCATAATAATAACAATAAAACCAATATCTCCTCCACTCTGCATGGCAAGGCTGCCCCGCTCACAGCACAGGTTGTTTGGGTCCCTCTTTTACTTGAGCAAAAACCTGTTCAACACAAAGAACTGCAGCATCCTCAGTCAATCTGAGAACTGCAGCATCCTCAGTCAATCTGAGAACTGCTCCTGCAGCAAAGAGCAAATGAACAAAGTCTAACGCTGTCACTTTAGCAGTGGCCCCAAGGGGTGACCCCACGGCGGCAGCTCCGCCGGCACCCGCGGTCCTGCAGGGTCTGGTGCTGGGACAGAGCGAGGATTCACCCCGACCAGGGACAGCGGCTGCTGCTTCCTCCAGGAGCACGGGGCCCACGTGGGAGCTGTAGACAGCAGCGACCCGCATCCCCTGGGATGGAGCCTCGGAGCGCTGACCCACGGGGACACCCTGCGCCAGGGAGAGCCGCCGTCCTGGAGAGCTCACAAGGGCAATGGGAAGCGCAGTGCTCGCGTGCTCATTCCAAGCGAAGGCTGTCGCGAGTAACGGTTTTTTTTAAATGAAATGGAAAAATAAAATAGCAAGAGCAAATGAACTTTTTTTAAAAAAAACAAAGTCTTTGGTTCCTGTAAGAAAGCCTGCACTCTGGTGCCAGAAGTAAAGCTGTCCCAAACGTGCCTTTTGTCCGGCTCCTTGTGCCTCTCGCGTGCGGGTGATGGCAGCTCCGGGCACCCCGACGGTGTCTGCGGGTCCCTGGGCAGAGGGTGCTGCCAGGTCCGAGCTGATGGGGGCGGCTGCTTCCTTTCCAACATTCCCTTCTGGCCAGCGCAGCCTGTGCCAGGAAAGCAGAAGTGATGGGTACCTGAGTGGCTCAGAGGTGCCAAAATCAGGCTGGTCAGTGAGCACTGAGCCCCACATGGCCAGTGGAACAGTCCCACACTGTGGCACTTGAGCTAGCCCGTGATGTTCATGTGCAGAAAGGTGCCCAGCTGCAATCCCCAGCACAGGGAGCAGCATTGCCACATCCCACAGCTTAGCCCCATAGCCCGGCATCAGCACTGTTCCCAGTAACAGGGCTCCGGGCAGTCACAAGGGCTGTTGCTCTTGTCCTGTAGAAAACAGAGCTACTGGACCCTTGTGGCCAGTGAAGGTGCCTGGGAGAGTTGGACTGCTCCAAAACCCCACTGGACTGCGATGGGAAAGACATCAGCATCCCCTACACCCAACCTCCTCTGGGAGGAGGATCCCCCAGACTGCCCCTGCCCTGGGGGGCACAGGGTCCTGCGCCTGAGGTGCTGCAGGGCAGAGGACCAGCTCCCTGATGTTTTGCATCACCAGCATTCCCGCCCAGCAGCACTGCTGACTGCAGCAGCAACATCCCAGGGGGCCGGTACATCAGGTGTAATTGTTTTAGGCACAGAAGCAGCAGATAAATAAATGTTAACGAACATCTGGTTGCCATAAACAAGGTAAATTAAAATTAACAGCAATCTTATTCATTTAATGAACAAGTTAACCATATTTTAAAAGAGCCATAAAAAATGCATGGCTTCCTGCTAGGCTGAGGGAAACTAAACCCATTCCCTGGCAGAGGGGGTGGGAGGAGGGATACATGCCCTGAATGGAATATGTTCTTACTGCAAGCCCCCCAGTTCAGGTGTCAGCAGTACAGGCCCCTCCCAGACAACCTTCTGTGCTGTTGCTCAGGCTGCAGGAACCCAGGGGCTGGCCACCAAAACAGGAACTACAGGAAAAATATACCAATTTCTCATGGAACAATCAATCCCTCCCCAGCCCCCAGCTCAGAGGCAGGGATCCACATCAAGTACTGAGCAAATCAAAGGAAATACTTTGTCACTCCAGCCATACCCTCTCCTATTTAGCAAAAGACTCAAGATCTAAACTGGAACACAGCTCTGCTGGCACAAGTGCCCACATGTTGACCTGCCTGCTGCTGCTGCTGCAGCTCCATCCACCGCTCTGCAGTGACACGGACTCTGCTCTGCCAAACACAGCCAAGAAGATGGGCGATATGACTTCAGTTGTTTGCTTTACTCATAAATTCACAAGTCCAACAAAATCCAACAAAAATTGGTATTAGGCCTGTACAATCCATATATAAAAAGGGTTGGTTTATTGTAGTTCAAATACATAAACTGAACAATCCCAACATTTCAAAATTAAGCTTTAGAAACACAAGTTTAACATTCAAAACAGGAGTATAGTTTACAAGAATTGCCCAGAGGGGAATCCACAGTCTAATCCAGAAGTATGTAAAGATCACTTTATCGTAAATAAAAATGGGTTTGTACAACCGTCCTGTTCTGCTCCGGTAACCACTGCTATGGACCAAGTGTTTCCAACCTGGAGTACAAATTATCAGACAAATCTTCACTTGGGCAGAGCAACCTGATTTTGCTTCTAATTCATGGACAGGATAAGGAAAAAAGCACACCTGTGAACAGATTTGATTTAAGGTCTCGGTCCTAATTCTCCTCTCTCAGTTCTAACTCTGGCTTGAATGGATTTAGTTCCATTTACAGGGGTCAAAGCAAGCAGAGAACTGGAACCTGGGTTTCCTGAAGACGCTCTTCAGTGGTGGGCAATTTAAGCTATCAGACAGCAATGCACCTCCTCAGCAGAGACCACAGGTAACCATGAGGAAGCTGGTGGCACACACATAGTGCAAGCTCAAACCACAAGTGTCATCATCCTTAGAGACCCACGCATATGACACTGGTGAGAATACCTCCAGCTTCAGACACGGCTCTGCTCTGAGAGCTGGTTACCAGGCACAGCCACACGTTCAGACTTTTGTCAGTCATGCCCCAAAGAAACTCACAAATACCTTTAACGTGGGGTTTTGTCGTTGGTTCCCCCCCCCGAGACCATTTCATGTTCACAAATGCTGCTTCTTCCTCTGCTCCTCAGATGGTTTTGCAATGTTTTCACGGTAATGTATATGTATAAACCTGACAGATGGCTCATGCAAGCTTTTTGATTTAACAGATACCCTTGGCTTCAGAGTATTTCATAGCTATTTTGTTGTTCGTCTCGTAGGCTCTGAGGCTGTGGGTGGTGGAGGGGGACCTCGACGGTCCAGGTCATCGACGTAGGACACGATGAGCTTGCGCCTCTCCTCCGGCACGCAGTCAAGCACCAGGTATCGCTTGTCGTTCTGCAGAATCTTCTCAACATCTTTCAGATGCTGATCTGACTCCTGGATCAACTTTTTGGATCTGAAAGCAAGTGTAAGAGTTACCACCCCAGGGTGGCTGGGAGCCACAAAGCCCAGGAGCCTGCCCTGCACCTGGCGGCAGCTGCATCGAGCTGCCCTCACCAAGGGAAAGCACAGAGGAAAGGCAAAGCTGGGAAAGGCTGCAGGGACCTGGGCATCTTCTCAGCTAGAAAGATGCTGCTTTAGCTCAGGACTAGGCATATCAACAGTACTCGAGGCACAGGAAAAGTCACCTAAATTTCTGCTATGTTAATTAAGCACCATGGAAGGCTCATGTCTGGCTGCAATGGCCTTGTACAGCACTGCTTGAGCTATGCAAATGCTAAAAACTGGAGGGGACAAAAAAAACCAAAACCCAAACATAGAATCACAGACTGGTTTGGGTTGGAAGGGACCTTAAAGCTCATCCAGTTCCAACCCCTGCCACGGCCAGGGACACCTTCCACTAGAGCAGCTTGCTCCAAGCCCCGTCCAACCTGGCCTTGAGGTTTAAATCCAGATCTAAATGAGGCAAACGATTAGAATTTGGATGTAGAAGTCTCAGCAACAGGCCAGCTGAACTGGTGAGCTTATGTCCACAGCAGCAGCTCAGAGCACTGTCACTGAGCCCCACCTGAAGTCAAGACTCCAAGGCACTACAGTGCTGACCACCAAGGAGCCACATGGTTCATTAGGGTCCAAAGAACTTAATCTCATTTCTCCTTTTAAACGGTTTCTCATGTTTCTGTTCAGAAAATTCTTTTGGTCCATACCCAAGGATTCTGTATCAGCCTCACCATGCTCTGAAACGGAGTGAAGTCAACCTCTCTGAAGCTGTACCCGCCTGGAAGGGACACCCTTTTTGGGTTGACAGGTTATACAAGTTGTAAAAGTGCCAACTTAGACATAAGGTACACTAAGAGAAGAACGAGACATGAATTTGTTGCCAGTTATAAGGAAAATTAGAGCAAAGACCAGCCCTTTGCTGACGTTAGGCCACACACCTGTAGGTTATGAATTTGGTCTCTTTCAGTAGCGTTCGGAAGTCGGCTTTGGCAGTAATGTATTTGTCTCTAATGTATTCCTCAAACTCCCTTTGCTTTTTCTGAAAGAAAGCAGATAAGGTTAAGACACTGAATGCAGATGAAGTGCACCTTAGCACACTGACCATAAGCAATAATCACAATTACATTTGTCCTCATCTTTAGCACTTTAATTTTTAAACAGTCTTACTTAAACAATACTACTTCTGCTCCTATCAAGCAGGAACCAGCTCAGCAGCCACCGACTCCCGTTCCCTGTATCCTGCCTGACACTGGAAGCAACAGCAAGGCAAACCACTCACCCTGTCACTTGAAGAAAATTTAATGCACCTTGGATCTTCTTTAATGATTTTTTTCACTTCCTTCCATGTTGATGTTAAAGTTATCTTTCAAAAGAAGCAAAAATGGTTAAATGAAAAGAAAATCAGATTCTAAGAATATGGAATGCAAATATTATTACACCTGAAGCTTTTGAATACCTCCCAAGCCCACTGACAAAGTTGTGGCTGTATTTTTACATGTTGGGTTTTGATTACTTAGACTACTACATTCTTAATTAGTTGGTTTTATATATTTAGGTCTTTTGAGATGGCATTTTTAGATCAAAGTCCTCACAAATATAATTTACATTCCTTTTT